GGCTTTATACATAACCAGTAGAATATTATAATCAACCAAATCAAAGAACTTCAATATTTTCAATTTACAAAATAATGAATTTGATGGGTGATGACAATGTTTTCCAGTAATAATTCACACAGTTTTTCTGTAATAAAAAAACAGGATTCATAATTGTCAGACTCGCTTCCCCCAGACCTCAATACAATAAACCATGTTTGGACTTATTATTGCATTATACAACATATACAGTGCTTTATCMWTAAATAACTCCCTTACTTTATACAGAACAGCAATAGATTTAGCCATCTTTGTTCTTAAATAATTTAGTGAGGTCTCCATGTGACTTTACAAATCTCAACCCCATCGACTCTAAATGGAACATCAATAGTTTTCTTTCTATTACTAAATACCATATAATTAGTTTTCTCTAAGTTTAATGACAACTTATTAAGTCTAAACCAAGTTTGTATTTTAACAAATACCGTTTGCATCCTTTCAGCTCCATGCTGGAGGACAAATCTGAGGAGGTGAAGTTGGAGCTTGCCAGGATTGTTGGTCAGCTGAGCTGCATCCAGTCAGAGCTCTCCAAGCTTTGTGACATCACTCAGGACTCCTCCTGTCCTCCCAAAGTCCTCTGCCTCAGCTGCAGCCTCGCAGCAGAGCATGCTGGGAAGACGGCACCGTCTCTCAAGGCCTCTGCTGTTAGACCTTTTCTTCCTTTAGTCGGACCACAGGCTACAAGCAGTGTCAAACTAGGTTCTCTGATTTGATTTGCTCTGACAGTTAGTGTCTGTGTAAGATAAGAAAGTTGTGAACTTTCATAGAATCTTAATCATTTAAATGTTTCCCTGTTCCAGCGTTTCTGGAAGCTCTGCCTCACCTCTGCCAGCATGTGAACCTGATTGGTGGCGACAGTGATTCCAGGGCGGTTCTCTGTGCTCTGATTGGTCTCATGGAGGATCCAGATCCTCTGGTTCGAATACGCTTCAGCCAGTCGGTGCGTTTTCTGCTAACAGAGACCGCTACAAGCTCCRAGCAGGGCACGCTGAATGAGGTGAGAATTTTCACTGGTAAAACTAAAAGAAACAATTCTAACAATACATTTGGAGATTATGTCTTGTTCATGCACTTCATGTTTAATGGAATAAGAAGTGAAGATGATGCTTTTTGATCTTTCAGCTTCTGGTTGCACAACTGAAGGAAGCATTCAGCAAAGCTAAAGTCAGCAGAGACGATGACTTACGCAACACCCTCATTCTTACTACTGGAGAAATTGGCAGGTAGCCATGCGCTTTCTTTTAAAACTATATTTGTTCACAATCCGTGTATGGTTCGTTCTTTGTTTTTTTTTCGTTTCAAAATAAAATTGCAAAAACAAAACAAGCATGTTGTTTTTTGGTTTTTCTGTTTTTAAAACCTAAATGTAAAAATGCAAAATC